AGCAGCACATGTCTCTACATTTTCAGAACTCGTCAACCTCATGCTAGTTGAAGAATTCTTGAGACGTGTTTCCCCTTCCGTCCGTTTATATTTAGCAGATAAAGAAGAAACTGACTACATCAGATGTGCGAAGTCAGCTGACACCTACAGCCTCATCCACCGGCTAACACCAGAACCACCTTCCAGTAAGAAGTCTTGGTATAGTTATGATAAAGTAGGAACAGATCAAGCAAGCTCTCAATTGAATTGTAAGTATTGCAAACTCTATGGACATACCATAGATAGATGTGGGAAAGCTCAATAAAAAGGCAATGAAACTCCTAAACCCAAACCGACTCCTCCTAAGTCCGGTAAGCCTGTGATGAATGTTGGTGTTCCTATTAATGATCTTTCTCTCTTCAGCAAACACCTGTATCCTGGAACTGTCTCTGCCAACGGTACAGATTCGGAGGGACGTTTCAAATTGAAGATTTTGAGGGACACAGCGGCTCTTCAGTCCATAATATTGAAATCAGCTGTGCCTAACATCACCTACACCGGGGAAACCGGCTTTATCACTGACCTCACTGCTACCACTCCGTATCCACTCGCCAGAGTCCACCTGGATTGTCCTTTTGTGACCGGTGAAGTCCAAGTCGCCATCAAGGAGAAGCCTTTTCCCATGTCTGGAGTGCAACTTCTCCTGGGCAACGACTTGGCAGAAGATCTGCAACCTTCCAACCTGATCATCATGGACAAACCCCAGGTGTGTAACTCTGTAGTGGACAATCCCATCTTTGAGTATGTTTCAGCAGAGGTCCAAGAAAGTGATGAAGTTTCTCCTCCGGTTTTGGTGACCACCCGTGCACAAGCAGCACGCCTGCAACCAGCTGACTCTACTTCTACCGCTGTCTCTCAAGACCCTCAGAATCTACCACCAAATCTTACCAGTTTGGAGTTCCGTAAGTTACAGAGGGAAGATCCATCATTAACACCATTATTCTTCCACGCTGAGACTCAACCTGACAGTATCCCTGGGTTCTTCCTAGAGAATCAGTTGCTCTACCGCAGATACAGACCCAGTAAGCTGAAGGAGGACGACGATTGGGCAAATGTCGAACAACTAATGGTTCCTACCAGCCTACGGCCCGATATTCTACACCTGGCCCACGGAGCTCTTTCTCACTATGGTTTTAACAAAACCTACCACGGAATCAGACAAGACTACTACTGGCCAGGTATGGTTAACGACGTCAAAAAGAACGTGCAACAGTGTCATACATGTCAGATGACAGGTAAACCTAACATCTCTATTCCCCAGGCCCCATTGACTCCTATTCAGGTTCCTGCGGAACCTTTCCACAGACTCATCATAGACTTTGTTGGTCCTTTACCCCGGACCAGTTCTGGCAACGCCTATATACTAACTATCTTGTGTCCTACCACCAGATTCCCCATAGCAGTTCCAGTAAAGAACATTACGGCTGCTACTGTGGTGAAACAACTAATGAAGATCTTCACCCAGTATGGATTTCCAAGAGAGGTTCAAAGTGACTGTGGCACCAACTTCACCAGTGATCTCTTCAAGAAGACACTGGAGGAGTTCAACATCACACAGGTACTGTCCAGCCCCTATCATCCTGCTTCACAGGGTTCTCTTGAACGTAGTCATCAGACTATTAAAGCACTCCTAAAGAAATTTTGCAATGAAACCTTGAAGGACTGGGATAAACAACTTGACCTCATTATGTGCATTTTCAGAAGTCTCCCCAATGAGTCTCTAGGAGTATCTCCTTATGAGATGCTCTACGGACGTAAGTGCCGTACTCCTCTCAAAGCTTTCAAAGATTCTCTACGTAATGCCACCTTCAGTGACCCTCAGAATGTGCCTCAGTTTCTTTAAAACTTAAAACACATTCTAGAGAGAGTACGTAAATTTGCTAAAGACAACCTATTGAAAGCTCAGGAGAGGACGAAGACTCATTTTGACCAACGCAGCAAACTAAGGAAATTTAAACCAGAAGACTTCGTGTTGGCATATTTTCTTATCCCAGGTTCTCCATTGCAAAACAAGTTTTCAGGACCTTACCGCATCAAGGAGTGCAGAAACAATCACAACTACGTTCTTGAGACTCCAGATAGGCGGCGGAAGACCCAGTTGTGCCACGTCAACCTCCTGAAGCAGTATCAAGGTACTCCCCCTACTGTGTTGGTATCATTATCCACATTTAAAGGTCCATTCCTCCACAGTGAGACCTTCCCTTCTTCTCCTCCCGAAAGCACTAACACTGAGTCAGTGCCTTCCAACTCGGAAATACTTAATGATCTTCATAACCATTTGCAGGACAGTAATATTGCTCCTCTCATCAGAATCTTCAAGGAACATCAGAAGTTGTTCAGCGATGATCCACAGGAGTGTAATGTGGTTCAGCACGACATCCAGCTACTCCCTGACTCCAGGTCGATTCGTCAACCTTTCTACAGAATCAGCCCGAGCAAGAAGGAAGTCATGCGTGCTGAGGTACAGTACCTCCTGGATCATGGGCTGGCTACCCCTTGTGAGTCCCCTTGGGCCTCACCCTGCATCTTGGTGCCGAAACCGCAAGGTAAAGTGAGGTTGTGTACCGATTACCGGAAATTGAAACTTGTGACTATCAAGGATGCTTACCCATTACCTAGAATAGATGACATCTTTGACGCCATTGGTAATGCTCGGTATCTATCAAAGTTAGACTTACTCAAGGGATACTACCAAGTATGTTTGACAGAGCGAGCTAAGGAAAATATCTGCCTTTACCACTCCCTTTGGCCTTTACAGATACGAACGCCTTCCATTTGGACTATATAACGCCCCGGCCACCTTCCAGCGAGCTGTCAAACGGGTCATCCAGGGCTTAGATAACACCTACGCCTACTTGGATGACATGGTTGTGGCAACTAACACCTGGAGCGAACATCTGCTCCAGCTGCAACGATTGTTTGCCAAGCTCCTGTCAGCCGCCCTCACCATCAACTTGGGCAAGTCCACCTTTGACAAAGGTAAAGTGCGTTATCTTGGTCATGAGATAGGGAGTGGCAGCATAGCTCCGTTAAACATGCATACCCAAGCCATCCAGCATTACCCACAGCCTACCACCAGGAAGCAGCTCCTGCGCTTCCTTGGTCTTGCCTCCAACTACCGTTGGTTTGTGAAGAATTTTAGTACGGTGGCGACACCTTTGATCACTTTAACCAGCCCCAGGCAACGGTATAATTGGACCATTCAGCAGACCATTGCTTTTGAACAACTTAAATTCCTGCTCTGTTCTAATCCTATTCTCACCTCGCCAGATATCACGAAGCCTTTCATCCTCCATGTCGACGCCAGTGGTACCGGCATCAGGGGTGTCCTGATGCAACAACGAAGCGAGGATGTTCTACCAGGTTAGCTACTACAGCTACAAGTTAAAAACACACCAGAAGAATTACAGCACGATCGAAAAGGAGCTACTCTCTATCGTCCTGAATTTACAGCACTTTGAATCATACCTGCAAGGTGCTCGGTCTGCCACCATCTACTCGGACCACAATCCCCTACGCTTCCTGCAGCAAGCCCAATTCACCAATCAACGACTTCTACGATGGGCTTTATATCTGCAGAATTTCAACCTGGAGATCTTCTACATCAAAGGTTCTGACAACATCATATCAGACGCCCTCTCCAGAGTTTATGAGATAGAGACAGCTCCACCTACCACTCTACCACCTGAAGACGTAAATTCACCCGTAAGTGCAGGCTTCGGGGGAGAGTTGTGACGATAATCTCTTTCAAGAGAGCTTGAGCCTGCTCTTCTCTACATGAAATTACGTATTTTATACAAGAATAAGATGCTACCTTCAAGATACGTCTACCAGTAGCACAAAACGTTTTGACCAGGAGGCAAAATGTACCCAAGACTCACCCACTACTCCACTCCCTCCACGCCGGCTCGTCATCAACCAGCCAACTACCCTTCCCAGCCTGCCTGCTCCTGATTGGTGACTCGCCGACTGCACACCTGCACACTGCACCAGAATATGAATATCCGTCAGAATATCCTTGTGCTCTCAAGCAGTGAACAACTAACTGATATACGCTGTGTATCAGGTGGATGTTTCTCAGCTAAGCACCATATTCTCAGCACCTGATTATTTTTCACCTTTAACTTTATATTATTGTAGAGTAACTTCATCTCTATTATTCATTTATATTATGTGTTTTTGACTTATTCTAGTGCACTGTACATTGCCAAGGGATTGTCTTTGTTTATAATTTGTTTTATATATTAATTAAAGTTTCATTGTTCATACTTTGTGTTTTGCGTGTCTTCCCTTACTTTACCACAGACAAACAGGCAAGCAGTCTATCTTTTTTTTTTTTAAGTGTGAATAGGAATTGACACCTGCCACTGGAGGACTGCCGAACATCTACACTCCAACACTTTCCCGTCACACACTGCACTCAGGCATAGGGTGGTTAAGCAGCTGTCGACCCAAAAGGAACATTCATCAATTTTAACATTCTGCATATTTAAATTTGGGGTATTTTCTCAAATATGCGAGTTATTTGCGTATATAAATAAACAGGAAAATTTAATTTTTCCCAAATATGAGGACAGGTTGGGATATACGAGTAAACACTGCAATTGTCCATATAATCGTTCATGCCACCTCACACGTGTATGTGTGCACTAATATAGTCATGTGTAATACTGTAATAGTGTGAACACTTAAATTTGTTTATAGTTGCTTGCAATATGCCTATTAAAATCTTGGGGAACACCGTCCTTGTTTTCTGCTCATTATTGCTCTGGCATTTAAATTACATATTAATTTGGAAATGAGCCATTTTGTGTACAGTATGTAGCCATTTTTTTTAACAGATTTACATATTACCTAACATCAATAAAACATACTGTAATTCTGTTTCATTAGTATTGAAATGTTAAGAAAGCTAAATACATAGCAATGGAATTTAATCTCAATAAAGGATACAAAAAAGCTAATTTTTATGCATTTATTTTTGTGACATATTTGCTGCAACAAGTTTTTATGACATGTTGGCTGCAACAAGTTTTCCTAATTTTCAGTGAAGATACAATCATTGAGGTTGCAGGAAAATGACACAATCTCATTTTGCATTGCCTGTGGCAGACCCTTGGGACTGGGTAGCCATGCACAGAGGGTACTGCAGGGTCTGACAGTCCACTGCTCTAAAGTAATGTTTTCCGGCGGCCTGTAGACCAAGGCAGTTTAGGGCAGTGTTCCACTTGGGTTCTATCAAGTAAGCAGGCGTCGTGATCCCCCAGAAAGGTGAACCTGAAGTAGACAAGTTATTGAATTGGTTGCAACAATAATTTGCATATTAATAAAACATTACACGTGACGCCGTTTATTATTCCTAACATCACCTTCTTTAACTTAATTTAAACATAAAATCTTATTGAAGAAAAGAAATAGAAAAGGAAAAGGTTAGCAAAGACAATTAAGCCCAGAAACACTACTACAAACTTTTATGAGACAAACACCAACCAAGAGCTATAAGAAACAGTAATCTCAGGGAAAATGCTATTAGAGAATTTTTTTTAACTGATTAAAACTCAAGGCTTGTTACAGACTCGTCGCCCTTGTCAGAGGGTAGAGTGGCAGTTCCAGCGCCATCTAAGAGTCCGCATCCGAACTCCCCGGGAATAGTACGTAATACGGACAATGCCATCTGGTGGTGGTTATCAAGTACCTGTAAATGGCTAAAGATTCCTGCCTGGGTCAGCCAGAGGGGTCGTTGTGAGTGACCTCTGGTGAGGTGACGCCTCAAGACCAGCGCCACCTAGTGTGTGCTACAGAGCACAATGTCAACGCCCCAGTGGGTTAGTGGTATTTCCTAGTTTCACCAGTATCGGCTAGGTCATTGATGACGTTTTGTGTCCACAGAGGTGACGTCTAAGGGGCAGCGGTACTGGAGAGGGCAGTTCATGTTGGGCAGTCCACAGTCCCTACACGGTCCTGGAAACGACCAAGTAAGCCGCCGCCGATGAAGCAGTGTGGTAGCTACTAGTGCTTTAGTGTTGAAAAAGATCGGCGTACCTTTGGGACTGTCTTAGGGAAGAGACTGACGACAGGGTAGTGGTAGACTGTTGAGTAGTGCTGCTAGCTGGTCGCTTGAGACTGCTGCCAGGGAATCGCTACCCCTGTATTGGTTTGTGACCTCCCTCAGCGTATGGCTGAGGTACTCTGCCAGCGAGTAGTTGGAGAGGGGTCGTGGGGGTACAGGCACCTCATGACACTGTCAGTGGGCTGGCCACGTACAGGTGAACTTGCCGGTGTTCTTCCCAGTAAGGTTGGATACGCTACTGGACAATAAAGAAATACTGGGGATTGATGAACTCTGCACGTGAGCACGTTTGATATCCTGAGCGAAAGGATTGTACATAGATGTACAAACAGCCTATCTGTTCTTTATATATCTTTATATATTATGTATGGTGACGGTGTACATATATATATATTTAACGGTGGTGGAAAGATATTTAATACATTGATGAAAGGAAGTGTTTTGTTCATCCCCTCCTTTTTTTATGCATCACATAGCCATTTTCTTGAAAGCGTACTACCGACATGGGGTCGGATATTATCATTTTGGTTCTACCATCAAAGAACCCGGTTGCGACCCATAGTGACCGTAACAAGGCTCCATGAATCCGCCATGTTTTCTGTACTTGGATCAGCAGGTGGTTTCACGGGTCTCAATCCCAGCAGACCCTTGTGCCACCTATAGCCCTGCACTTTTGAACTTTTATCTCTGAACTTTTTTCCAGTTTCGTCTTGTGCTTGACAAGGTACGGGATCCATGCTGGGGCCGCATACTCCAGGATTGGTCTTGTATATGGTATACAGGGTTCTGAAGGATTCCTTACACATGTTTCTGAAGGCAGTTCTAATGTGTGTGTGTGTACTCACCTATTTATACTTACCTATTTGTGCTTTCGGGGGTTCAGCTCTGGCTCTTTGGTCCAGCCCCTCAACTGTCAATCAACTAGTATACAGGTTCCTGAGCCTACTGGGCTCTATCATATCTACACTTGAAACTGTGTATGGAGTCTTCCATCACCACATCACTCCCTAATGCATTCCATTTGTCAACCATTATGACACTTAAAAAGTTCTATCTAATATCGCTGTGGCTCCTTTGGGCACTCAATTTCCACCTGTGTCCCCTAGTGCGTTTGCCCATTGTGTTAAATAGCATGTCCTTATCTACTCTATAAATTTCTTTGAGAATCTTGTATGTGGTGATCCTGTCCCTCCTAACTCTAATGTTTTCCAGCAACTTGAGGTTTAACTCCCGTAGTCTCTCCTCGTAGCTCATACCTCTCAGCTCGGGTACTAGTCTGGTGGCAAACCTTTGAACCTTTTCCAGTTTAATCTTATGCTTGACAAGATATGGACTCCATGCTGGGGCTGCATACTCCAGGATTAGTCTGACATATGTGGTATACAAATTTCTGAATGATTCCTTACACAAGTTTCTAAATGCCGTTGTTATGTTGGCCAACCTGGCCTATGCCGCTGAAGTTATCCTCTTGATATGGGCTTCAGGGAGCAGGTCTGGCGGGATATCAACTCCCAAGTCTTTCTCTCTCTCTCTGACTCTCTTTGACTCTTGAAGATTTTCATCTCTCAAATGATACCTTGTATCTGGCCTCCTGCTGTCTACAACTATATTCATTACATTTGCTTGGGTTAAACTCTAACTACCATTTGTTCACCCATATTCCTTTAGTTTGTCTAGGTCTTCTTGAAACCTCAAGCACCCCTCCTCTGTCTTAATCCTTCTCGAAATTTTGGCATTCTCGGCAAACATTGAGAGGAATGAGTCTATACCCTATGGGAGATCATTTACATATATCAGAAACAGGATAATACCGAGTACAGAGCCCTGTGGGACTCCACTGGTGACTTCAAGCAAATCTGTGGTCTCACCCCTCAGTGTAACTCTCTGCTTCCTATTGATTAGGAACTCCCTTTTCCACTGGAGCACCTAACCAGTTACTCCTGCCTGTCTTTCCAGCTTATGTACCATCCTCTTATGGGGTATTGTCAAAGACTATCCGACAGTCCAAGAAAATGCAGTCCGCCCAGCCCAGTGTGTGTGTGTGTACTCGCCTAGTTGTAATCACCTAGTTGTGCCTGCCGGGGTTGAGTTCTGGCTCTTTGGTCCCGCCTCTCAACTGTCAATCAACTGGTGTACAGGTTCCTGAGCCTACTTGGCTCTGTCATATTTATATTTAAAACTGTGTACGGAGTCGGCCTCCATCATATTACTGTCTAATGCATTCCATCTGTTAACTACTCTGACACTGAAGAAGTTCTTTCTAACGTTCCTGTGGCTCATTTGGGTACTCGGTTTCCACCTGTGTCCCATTGTTCGTGTACCCCCCTCGTGTTAGATAGTTCATCCTTATCTACTTGTCAACTCCTATGAGAATTTTTTAGGCAGTGATCATGTCTGCCCTTACTCTTGTCTTCGTGTCGTGAGGTGCATTTCTCGCAGCCTTTCCTCGTAACTCGTGCCTCTCGGTTCTGGGACTAGCCTAGTGGCATACCTCTGAGCTTTTTACAGCTTCGTCTTGTACTTGACAAGGTACGGGCTCCATGATGGGGCCGCATACTCCAGAATTGGTCTTACATGTGTGGTAAACGGGTTCTGAATGATTCCTTACACAGGTTCCTGAAGGTTGTTCTGATGTTAGCCAGCCTCGCATATGTCGCAGATGTAATTCTTTTTTATGTGGGCTTCAGGAGACAGTTTTGGTGTGATATCAATTCCTAGATCTTTCTCTCTGTTCGTTTCATGAAGTACTTCATCTCCTATTCTGTATCCTGTGTCTGGCCTCCTGTTTCCACTGCCTAGTTTCATTACCTTGCATTTACTCGGGCTGAACTTTAGTAGCCATTTGTTGGACCATTCATTCAGTCTGTCTAGGTCATCTTGTAGACTCCTATTATCTTCCTCTGTTTTAATCCTTCTCATAATTTTTGCCTCATCAGCAAACAATGAGAGGAACGATTCTATACCCTCTGGGAGATCATTCACAAATATCAGAAACATTATAGGTCCAAGGACTGAACCCTGCGGGACTCCACTGGTGACGTCTCGCCAATTTGAGAACTCACCCCTTAGTGACTCGTTGTCTTCTGTTGCTTAGGCAATCCCTTATCCAATGGAGTATCTTCCCTTTCACTCCACCCTACATCTTCAGCTTTTTCGCTAGCCTTTTGCATAGTACTGAGTCAAACCCTTTCTGGCAGTCTAAAAATATGCAATCTGCCCACCCCTCTCTTTGTTGCCTGATTTTTGTTGCCTGGTCGTAAAATTCAAGTAACCCAGTGAGGCAGGACTTGCCATCCCTGAACACATGTTGATGTTGTGTGTTACAAAGTTCTTTCACTCCAGATGACTTGCCAGTGATTTGTTATACACTATGGAGAGTGGAAGGCACAGTGCTTCTGCTCCTTCCTTTAGTATGTAAGGGGAAATAACTGGGCCTATAGTCTTTGTCATTTAACTCTAGCGAAAGCTTCCTTACATCCCCACTGGTAATCTCAAACTATTCTATTGGTTCCTGGTTAACTATTTCCTCTATCTCTGGAACTTCCCATTGCTCTAATATGAAGACCTCCTGGAATTTCTTATTCAGTTCCTCGCACACTTCCTTGTTGTTTGTAGTGAATCTGTCTGCCCTATCCTCAATTTCATTACCTGTTCCTTTACTGTTGTTTTTCTCCTGATGTGGCTGTGCAGGAATTTAGGTTGAGTCTTTTCCTTCCTAGTGATGTCATTTTCATATTGCCCTTCTGCCTCTCTTCTCAACCTGACATATTCAGTCTTGGCATCTTTTTTTCTGCATTCATATTCATTCTGGTATCTTTCTCTGCTCTCAAGTGTCCTGTTATATCTATAGTTTCTCCGCGCCCTTTTACTTTGCTGCTTAGCTAGCCTTGATCTCTGATTATACCATTGGTTTCTCATCTGCCTTTCGTTGTTATCCTCTTGGACCGGGATAAACTTGTCTGCTGCCGTTTTACACTTCCGCATAATGTAGTTCATCATGTCTTTCCCCTGAGCTCTGTTTCCCATGTTATATCTGTTAGGAATTTCCTTATCTGCTCATAGTTTCCCTTTCGGAATGCCAGCCTTTTGTTTTCAGTACCCCTTCTCGAGTCTTTAACCCTTCTTCAACCAGATACTCAAACGTCAGTACACTGTGGTCGATCATTCCTACCGGGGCCTCGAAACCAATTTCCCTTATGTCGGTGTC